GCAGTGTACCACCTGGAGGCCTGGGAGCCCATCATGACGGGTCTGGCGAGGACCACACAGGGGCCACTCCCAGCCTGCCCCTGCCCCAGCCCCAGGCTCACTGGCCTTGCAGATATTTTCTTCTCCCTGATCCTGTCTTGTTTTCAATCTTCCCTTGCCACTGACCAGACAAAGTTCTGGGCCATACTTGGGACGGGCCAGTGTAAGCCTCACTAGGCTGCCTGAGAGGGAAAGTCCGAGTCTGGCGCCTGGGAATGGCGTGCACTAAGAGAAGAACAAGGGCTTCTGAGCTCTCTCTTGAGGCCCAAGTTAAAATTCCTCTTCCAAACAGTTAGTAATCTGTGCTAGGCTTCAGGCTGCAGATCTTTGAAGAGACTGAGTCTATTAATGTTGAACGCTGACGTGGTTCCCAGTGACAGGGAATGGGCAGCGCTGTGAGCTGGCAGGTGTGCAGAGCGTGCTCAGATGTGTTCACCTGCACTGGGTCGGAGGAGGCCCAAGGAACTCGTGGACAAGGACGCAGTCTCAGGACTCCATGCTCATGTGGGAGTGTCTGCTGATGAGCAAAGCTGAAGTCACCATGTGCAGGATCTCCAGCTCAGCAGCATCCGGCCCCCAAGGGCAAAGGGAAGTGGCAGTTCTGGGGACAGCAAGTGTCTACTGCTCCACATCTGACCTGACCCAGTGCTGACTCCTACCACAGCGCCCAGCAACCCTGCCATGGGTCCCTGCAACAGAGTTTACCATTGGGAAGGAAATGCTTTCTCCTGCCCAGAGGAGGCGGAGCTCCTAAGGCTGGACACCAGTGCTGGGCACAGGTGTTTTGCTCAGTGGTCCCTCAGTGACATGTGAGAAGAACAGGGTCTGTGTTGGAAAGGAAACCTGTGTGTCAGCAGCAGAGGGTTTCAGGCCAACAAGATTCCACTGATCATGCAGGTGGGACCTGGGATACTTGGATGACATCAAGATCAGGAAGAATTTGCAGAGCACCTGGATGGCACTAGGTGTGCTTTGGGCCTCCGGTGACAAGGGGCTGCTCCCTTATTATCAAGTGTATGGATGGGGGAGTGAGAGCCTGTGGTGCAGGTCATTGAGAATCCTGCTAAATAGAGTGCAGAGACAGGGATGGTTTGCAAAGACAGTTCGGATCCTGGCTTGGGCTCAGTATGAGGTTAACAAATCCTGGGTCAACCAAACCTTGACCACCACAGTCCAAAGGGGCTGGGGTTGGGCTGCTGGAAGTAGGATGTGTGTGTAGAGGAGGGGTCTCACAGCTGATGGGTCAACCAAACCTTGACCACCACAGTCCACAGGGGCCTCACAGCTGGCCCCTGGAGTACACCTGAAGGTTATGGACCCCAGACCTTGCGACCTCAGCCTGCAGGCCAGGGTCCTTCCCAATCAGCTTTAACCTCTCAGCAGGAGCCTCTGTGCCCTGTGGACCTGGAAGACATTTATCCCCTACCCAGGCCAATCACTCAACTCCAGGAGAACACACTGCTTCCTCCACCAGGTGAGGCCCCAGCCCAGGTGGCAGGGCTGCCTGAGGGCTGGATGGGGCTCTGAGTCCAGAGAATCCAACTTTTGTGGAAGAGTGACTCAGCTCTGATATGACCCAGTCTGACTCCCTGGAAGTCCCTTAGCTGTCCCTGCCAAGGGTGTAGGGAGATAGACCCACAATGAGGGGGTACTGTAGAAGCACAGTAGGTGTGGGATGGCCCTGATAGATCAGAAATGGGAGCCAGAGGCTTCCTGAGTAGTTTTTATTTTGTCAGCCCAGGACAGAGAGGTCTCAGTAGAGCTTGAGATGGACACATTTGGGGACAGTGTGGAGCTCAGTTGGAAGTCACCTGGCGCAGCTGGGGAATGAGCCATGAGTCTGTCACAGGCTCCCAGGGACCAGTAGCAGCAGCAGGAAGGTCTGTGCAGACACGAGAGCTGCACAGGCCCCAGGCCTATGGACAGTACCCAGAGAAACCATGCTGCCCAGAGCCGGGGGTGTGCCCTGGGAAGGTATCTCAGAGGGGCTGGGAGTAGGTGTGATCTTCTTGTTTTCCTTGATCCAGTTGGAGAAGTAGCTGACTCTGGTGAAGACGCTGGGGCCGATGGGTGAGCGGCAGTCCAAGCTCCAACTGGAGATGCCTATCAGGTACCATTTGCCATTCACCGGGCAGACAAGAGGACCCCCAGAATCTCCCTGAGGGAAGAGAGGTCATAGGTAGCAGGGGCAAGGACATGGATGGACGGTGCAGAGCATGTGGAGGACCTGGTCTTCCTCCAGGATGGAATGTGGGCAGCTGCCCAAGGAGTGGTTCTCATCATAGTACCAAACAACGGGGGAATCTCTGGGTCCAAACCCTCTGGGGGCCCCAGAGCAATGTCCCCAAAGCTCTCCAAGGTCCCTACACAGCCTCCAGGCAGACACTCATAGCCCTCCGAGAATACACAGGGGGACTTCAGAAGCTGGAGGTCCACCCTCTGTCCTTCCTACCCTACACCTGGGAGAAAGCACTGTCCAAGGCCCATGGACTGGTGAGGTGGCCAGCCTAGATGCCTGGCCTGTGACCCGCGGCCGCAACCTCACCCAGCATCGCAGCCCGCCTATGCCTTTGTCTTTGACTCATTAAGTCTCCAGTGTTGCCTCAGTTTCTTGGCTGAGCCTCTAGGGGAAATGTCAAGCTATTGGATTTGCTCAGGGAAAAGAGACCCATCCTGAGGGGAGGCAGCAGGGACTACCAGAGGCTCTGGAAGAGCTCTGGGGTCTGGGTGTCTGAGATGGAAGTTCCCTTCAGCATGGGCTCCCCAGAGTGGGCCCCAGGAGACACAACACCCTCCAGCCATGTGTTTAGTAGACAAGACTGAGTGCCTTCTGTGTGCAGGTGCTGCCCAAGAGATCCAAGGTGACGTGACCACAGGAATTCACAGCTACAGACATGCGTGTGGGGTGGGTCACGCAGGAGATGGGTAGAGCCCAGGAAGGCCTTCTCTGGCTAGGCCATTGAAGTCCATGGCCCTGGTTAGCCCAGAAGGGGACACAGAAGACACTC